CAGAGGCGGCACAGTAAGTCACAGACTACAGCTAAATCACTAACAGTCCCACAGGGAGTTGCCAACAGAGACTGTAAGAAATGCAAAGCCTTGAGAAAATAACCACTTACTAGGCTTTTCCTTACAGACTGGAACGCTCACAACTCACTTTCAGCAGCACGGCACCTTGGCACACGCAGTTTTGGGGCCGTGGCATTTGAAAACCACCGGGCCGGGGACACACAGATTCAGAGCGGACCAGAGCAGGCTGAGGCCCAGAGACACACGTGCTCCCTCTGGGCCTGTGATCTGGTGCCAAGGTCAGGAGAGAGCCACAGCCACAGCCTGAGTTTGCCCAGAGTCTGGGCACACAGGAGGGAGTGGGAGGGCCCAGGTGGGGACACCAGGAGGGGACACCAGGCAGCTTCCAGGGTCCCTGAACTCGCAGGCGGGACGCACACTTTACATGCAAGCATCCTTTGGAGGACAGAGTCTATCGTACCTGTTCCCAGGTAAGAGTTTGTCCCCAGGACACCTGCCAACTCCTGGGGACACTTTGGGTTGTGACAAGTGGGGAAGGGTGTTCCCATTCCTGAGTGGGTGGGGGCCAGAGATGCTGATGGACGCTCTCCAGAGCACAGGATGTCCTCCCCCATTACCCCAAGGGAGTTATCCGTCCCCAAGTGTCAACCAGTCAACCAAGCCCAGGCGGCTTCAATGTCTTCTCAGATCCAGGCCCAAACAGCAACACTGCCCTGGTGCTGGGGGAGCTTAGAGGGTCTGGAGTTGGGGCAGCACAGCAAAGACTGCTTTTGAGAGAAGGCCTGGCTGAGAGTCCGTGGGCAGGCAGGAGCCCCCCGCAACCCGGGAAATGAAGGGGCACACCAAGGTGGAGAAGCCCCACTGCCCAAGCCAGAGACACAGCATGGCATCCTTCGCTCCCCCTCTGCCGGGGCCTGGTGGGTCTCCATCCAACCAACGCCCGGTCCACGCAGCCACCACCTTGCACCTGGACGGCTGTGCGGTCCTGTTCATTGCCCGCCCGCACTCTCCCCCAGCAGCCACAGAATCCCTCTCCCGGCACAAACCTGAGATAAGAAAGCACACCTTTTCTCTGGACGCCCTCTCGTCTCCTGCCACTTCCAGGTAGAAACTGAAGCCTTGCCACAGCCTGCCAGGGCCCACCTCTGTGGCCTCACTCCCCCTCGATCTCCCCAGACAAGCCAGAGCCCAGGCAGTTGCCCAGCCAGGGACCCCCTCCCCCGATCTCCACTGGCCAGCCCTTGCCCCCCGTCCTGCCCACCCTTCAGATCAACCTTCCAGTGCCCCTGGAGAGGCCTTCCAAACCACGGGGAGATGCCACAAGCTCTCCTGGTTCCAGTCTGTCCCCACAGCACCTGCCACAGCTTGTATTTACCTGTCTGACCACCCCCGACAGCAATCAAAGAGAAGCCCCATGAGGGCAGGACAGCTGTCTGTTCTTATCCAGTGAACCCTGGCTGAACAAGAGAGCAAGTGACAAGAGGTAAAGAGAAAAGAGAGAAGCTACAGTCTGCCGGCTTTGACAGGGAAGGAGGACAGTCTTTTCTTAGGCCATGAACGCCTGGGGCCTCCCGTGCGACATTTATGAGTGTCCCTAGGCATGCCCTGCGAGCGGGGCAATTCGGTCCACGAGCGCGGACTGGGCACTCTGCCGCCAGGCCCCGTAAGGGCTGCTGGTGTTCTGAGCACCAACGAGGAAACAAACAACCGCGATACTCGAGGATGACCTAAATACGCTCGGCCTGGCGGCACCTCACCCAGCCAGTCAGGGTGGGAAAGCTGCCTGGAGTAAGGTGCAGTCTGAGAGGTGCACAGAAAGTGACCGAGTGGCAAGGAACAGGGCACTGCAAAACCCCAGAAGTGACGGCGAGTTCCAGGAACTGCAGATCTCCCTGTCGAGCGGACGCTGGGAGGAAGAGGTGAGCAGAGAGGTCCCAGAGGGAGCCAGGGCTGGGTCAGGCTGGGTCAGGCCGCGCCCGTGAGCCCTGCTGCAGAGTTTGGACTTCATCCTGGAGGAAACGGGGAGCCCTGGAGTCCTGGGCGGAGCATGGACGGGCACCACGGGTTAGGGGCTGCGGTACGTCCCCTGGCTGCAACCTGGAGATCAAACTGGAGCGAAGACCGGGAAGCCTACCCCGGTGTCCCAGGCGGCCAGAGGACGCCCGCGAAGGGGTACAGGCGTCCGGGAGACGTTTCGGAAGGAGGACTCCGCTAAGGGATGCTGCGGCGGGCCCGGGTGTCGGGCTGGGGCGGGAAACTAGGTAGAGTCCGCGACTCGGACGGCCCCGGCCCGGAGGCGGGGGCCGCGTCACCAGAGGGGTGGGCGCTCACCCCACATCCGAGACCTCAAAGGACCGGGGGACAGGGCTCTGCCGGGGTCGCCACGTTGGCCCGCGGTCCCGGTCCCCGGTCGGCGGGTCCTACAGCCGGGACCGCGGCCTCCCCAGCAGTGAGGGGTCTCGGGGGC